GGGTATTGGGGGGCCAGCTAATTTTCTCAAGGACTATTTTTAATTTCATGCAACATCGTACATGCTATTTTTTAGTGCAACTAATAAAAATATTTTAAATGTGGGCTTTTGTCTTTTTTTATTAAGGGTGTGAGCTTTTGTATTGTGAGCTTAAGTCAGGGACTGACACAATATTGAATGTGACTAATAAAACTCAATTTGAAAACACTGCAAAAGCTGTCTGCATTCAGCAACACTGTCACCCAGATGTACTCTGCATGTGAAATGCTACAAGGTGTCCGACTAGACTGTGAAAGAAAGCAGATTTGAAGCTCTGGAGTAGTAATCATCACAAATAGATGCAAAAAAAGACAGACAGACCAGCACAAGGCAAATTAGACACGAGTGGGATGCAACCATGGCATTTCTTTGCAGCCAAACAAAGTATTGTGAAGTTTGACAATTGTAAGGAAAGAGGCATTGTAACTCTGCAAACTTTGCCTGTCCCCTGAGCGCAGAGATAATGTGCACATGTCAATGCCTTGATTTGTATGAGCCCAACAGACAGCTATTAAATTGTTTTTGCAGCTGGTGGCAGGCTTCCTGTTGGGAGGATAGGCAGATTCACTAAACATAGGTTGACAGGCTTCTTTTTTTTTTTCTCCTCTTTCTTTTATTCCGCTCTACTTTCCCTGTTCTTCCATTCATCCATCAACCTCAACATCCATCTCTCCCTCCGCTCTGCCCTTGCTGCGTTTCACTCTTTTCCTGACTCTTTTGCAACTTACTCTATTTTTCATCACCATCTGTCCTCCTCTCACCTCTCCGTCACCCTCCCTCCGTCCCTCTCCTGCTCCTCCTCTCTCCCATCTTTTCTAACCCACCCCCCAACCCCACCCATCTCTTCGTGTCCATCTTCTTTAGCTCATGCAGCAACAGGCAGCCATCATGGCAGCAACCCACGGAGGTTATCTCACGCCCAGCGTGGCCTTCCCCGCCACACAGATCCACCAGATGGGGGCGCTCAACATCAACAGCCTTCCGCCCACCCCCATGACCCCCGTGTCGGGTGAGTTCCATCAAGCCCTGGGTGAGCATTCAGTTCCATCCCCTTTCCTTTTGTGTTTATGTGTCTGTAACACACAACTAGATGTGTGTGCGTGGGTGTGTTTGTGTGTGTGTGAGCAAAGTATAAAACAAAYAGAGCTGCAGCAAGGCCAAAAGAAAGAGTGCCTGTAATCCAAATTAATTCCTCCAGAGAGAAAGGAGAGCGGAAGATGAGATTTGCATGTTTATGTTGTTTGTGAATGCAGAGAAGATATGAGGTTACTGTAGCAGCAGAAGAGTAAAGAATATCAATTACTAAGTTTACAGATAAGGCATTAATTTCCCCGTCGTATTTTGACCTTGTGCTTTGAAGCACTGGCAAATGGTCTGCAYGCACTTGGTTTTGTTTTCCATAACAAAGAGCCCCGTCAGATCCGTTACAGAGGGAAGGGAAAGACTTTGAAACACCTACCCACTGCATRTGATTTGCTTATTCAGCAGTGTTTCGATGCCTTTARAAGGAAGAAACTTCTGGATTTTTTCCYTCAACAAAAGCACAAGTCTAAATAAATCATAGAGCATCAAAAAGTCTTGTTTGTGCTCTGTTCTCGTACTTTGTCATCTCAGTAGTGTTCCAGTTTTTTTGAAAAACTTTAAACCCGTTCATGTGAGAGATACAACTTTCACCGGTACAAACATTTTTTTTTCAAAGTTTTAAATGTTATTTGTTTATTTATTTATTTTGAATTCAGCAAAAATTCTACTCATCCAGACTTGGTGCTCTGTTCTTTTGTTTCTTTGTATAAAACAATCCAAGTGAGGATATCAAGCCTGCAGGAGTCATTTTCTTCTATGTGCATTTCCAGCCAAGGCCAAACAAAAACAYGAATGTAAAGTCAGACAGTGCACGGTCTTCAGGCACTTGCAATATCATCTTCAACATTAGGCAATACATCTAGTGAAGAGACCCATTTGTCAAATTTTCACATTGATATTTTTAGTGCAAAGCTTGCACTTTTGGGCGGGCACAATCAATCCRAGACAGTGATTAAAAGCAGAGCTCAGTCTTGCTGAGAAGCTCTTATTTTGACCAGTAAAGCAGCGACAGTCAGACMTTTGTATTCAGTGTGAATACCTGTGCCCCACAATACAATGGGGCTAATTGAAGATAGGGCAACTGTAATGTAAGGAGCTTCTGTGGGCATGTGTGTGTGTAAACATATTTTATTTTATTTTATTTA